ATATTTTAAGTAATACTTAACTACCGTTGTTTGGGGGTATTTACAATAAATAACTTCACCCGATCATCACACCCTTTTAATGGCCTAGCTTCTTGGTATACCACTCCAAGGCTGACTAATCTGTTAGTATGTATGTGGAAAGACAACCCCTCTTGGTGGTGGGAGGGTTCGTTTGCGTAAAACCAGTGATCTATGTAGTACTCAAGTGTGTACGTGTATATACAGGGTGTTCAGTAAGTCAGGAAACGGGTTTCTATTGTTCTCATTGTTTGTAACAATGAGAACAATAGAAACCCGTTTCCTGACTTACTGAACACCCTGTATATGTAGATGTGTATCCCTACTCTAAATAAATAAACAATTCCAAAATTTATAATGATTAATAACAAAAATAATAACTATTATTTATAATAATATAAAAAGATAGCCCTTTTGGTTCAACAACAAAAATTAATATTATCAATGACAAAATGAAACTCTAAGATCAATGAAAAATAAACAATTTCAACAATAACAATTATACATAAAAAAATACATCTCAGAAAACTAACAAATTTAAACTATAAAAACAATCAATAATGATGTAAATTTCAATTATTAAATAACTACTGCTGGCTCAAATCAATAAAATATATAAAATAAACCAATAATATTAAATTTAGCCTTTCTGACTCAATAATAATCTTAAAACTCAATGAATAACTTATATGATATTAAAAGAAATACTGATAGTAATGATTAGCTAATTACTTATTCTGGTGGATCACTGAACAGATGCACAAAAAAATAACACTAATACTAATAATCAATAATTAACTCATAATATTGTAGTAATACAAAAATAAGCAAAGGGGTGTTAGGGTATTTTGACCAAGGTTGGATATTTGGAGATTTGGTCAATTCAGGAGCTTCTAGGTTCTATCGGGGTTTTAGAGTCCAAGGGTTTAGAATAATAAAGAAAAGTAGATATAAAAGAAATGATTAAAGTTCTACTTTATTGAATAATAAAAAAAAACTAATTAATTGATAAGAACCTTTAATAGGACACTAAGGCAACGAGGCGGTAATCCGACCCACGAACACTCTGTAATGTGTATATATATAAAGTACGAAAGAATTAGTAAAATTACTAAAGAGAATATTGATCTATTGCTTTACCATTCTTTACTCAGATTATTAATTCTAAATAATTAGGATAATATGAAATTACTTACTCCTTTTAGGTAGCTTGTTTAAAGACCGTCGATAATTAAAATATTAAATGTGTAACTCTTTCTTTTTATTGTGCTATTTTGCACACACGAAATTTATGTAATATATCTTTTCTAATTAAGTCTAGACTCAAAATAGTTATATTTTAATATCGTGTTAAAGTATACCGAAGACAACACGGGGTTGCGGTTAATTGAGAAAATGCACTAGACAAGAGAGTTCTGATTTCAATATTGAATTCAGAACTTCAAAAGTAAAAAGGTGCTTCTTTCTGAAATTCAGCGCCTTTTTATATTGTATTTTAATCTATCTATCCTCTATCCTGGGATGTTGTCGTCAGCGCTTTTAGCGATTTTCAGTTTATTGTGTTAAAATGGAAATAACATGATAATTATTTTAAGATATGATTCATAATATTATAGTAATCAATTTAACACATATATACATATATAATAGCTAGTACAACAGTGTATATGTTATGACAGATAAATGAATTATTTGTTTGTATACAATTAATATAAAAAACAGATTATAAAATTTTTTTTTCGTTGATAAATGTCTGATGCGTAATGCAAAACATTAGTCATATTACAACAATATTATCTAACAAATATTCCTCTGATTTTTGACTCGAACAATATACACATGACCCTTCTGGCTAGTGATGTACTAAAAGAAAAATTACACTAAATACTCAAATCTGTTCAGTAGCTCACACTCAATAGTAACACTTGACACAAATAATAAAAATACTCACTTCTAATTGGAATTGGCCAGCTACTTCTTAACTTAAATGCATGCAAATAATAATACAATTTAAACACTAAGAATACAACACAACTTTTTAACATAAATCTCAAACAAATATTATAATTCCATAAATATCATAGTATAGACTAAAATTACGACTAATTAATATAAAGGCACTTGTGGTCACTATGAAATAATACTCAATAATAAATGTACGATCCAAAATCTTTATTAAGCATTCAACAACAATAATTTTATCGAACTTAAATCTAGTTGAAAAATCTAATGTGATATGTATGTGAGTAACAGATGGCAATCTGATTGAAACGTAATCAGAACCGCTATCAATCGTCCTTGAAGGGAGTACAAGTCAGACTATTGGAGCTGACAATGACAGACCGGATAATGCACTGGATAATGCCGAGGACAATAAAACCGAGTGGAATTTCTCACAGGATATGTACACATCCTTATGTTCGTACCTTGACGAGTACATGGCCAACATTGAGGAACTAGAGAACACAGTGTCCTTCGAGCGCGACCATATTGCCCGGCTGGAAACAAAGGTGGACACATTGACGTCGCAAGTTAACTTACCTACCAATAATGTGGAAGGAGTACTTGGCAGTACCAATAGGAGAACCATACCATTACTTCACACACTTAGGCAAGTTATGGCGGACAGAACCGACACACCAAAAGTCTAGTCGGAAGGAGATGAGCAGATGGCCGTCCTGGAAAGTTTCGACCGAACGGCTCAACTGGACCACTATCCCTCTTATCTGAGCTTTGAGGAAATGATGAGTTCTCCGGTGAACTACACCGGACTTTGGTGGAATAAAATCATAGAAAACAGTTTTCCGGTGAAAAAACAAATTTACCCCGTGAAAACGGCCGGCACCCTGGGTTACATCAACTGAGACACCCTTTCTCCGGTGAAAATTCTAATTTCTTCGGTCAGAAACACAATACTTTCGTTTCAAATCAAGGAATGACTGGTATTACCGGAGTAGATCGACCCGAAAGACGTTTCCGTCCGCACATTAGGACCAGAGAGTAATGAAACTTTACTTTTAACGAAACATCGTTACTGTTACACGATAGTCAAACATTGACGCGTGATTCTCTGTCGGAGTTTTCCGGAAAAAAACAAGAAGACCCCAACGCTTTAATTGAATCGGTCGTAATCGAAGCGAATGTACCGTACCAGAAGTGGGTACGTGTGTTGGACCCACAGTTAAAAGTAGAGGCAGCTTACAGGTGGAGTACCATACTCTGCTTGAACGCCACATGGACTATGTTCCAACAACAATTTTTGAGGAAGTTCAACAGCAATGGTATACTGACCCAAGTATGAAATGAATTCCAATGTGCTCAACAAGGCCAGCGACAATCTCTAGGGGAGTTCGTATTGTGGAAGAGCCAGCTAGCCCGTCAACTCGACTCAAGGCTCACAGAGTACGAGTGGGTCGATCTAATAATAGGACTGATGCGCAGTGACTACCGGGTCCACGGAAGAGTAAGACGCCCGAATTCAATGGAAGATCTGCTAGAGCTGGTTAGCGACTTGGACACAGAGGACTTTTTACTGGAACGGCGGCCCGAAGAAAAGAAGTATTCCGTGGAAGGGAATAGATTCAAATTAGCAAATAAGAAACCGTCACCGTTGAAAGAGGTTGTTAAACCGGAAAAAAGTGTTATAAATAAATAACACGACAGTTAAGTATTACTTCAAATATATTTCAAATTAGTATACAGTTCGAAGTAAGTCTTATTCGATAAGAAAATTCTACAAATATGTGGGGGTACTTGATATTAGTTAAGTTAAATAAAATATTTAATTAAATCACATATAATAGTACATGGAAATCATTTAAAAAATAATGAGGATTTTTTGACATGTATTAATAAAATAACTTAATTTTTTTTGTCATACGCAACAACTGCATGAAAAATTAAAAATGCATTATTTTGTGTCTTCAAAAAATAAATAAAACTTATATTTATAGATATAAAATAAAATAATTATTATTTGTATACAAAAATATTACACGACTTAGTAAAACCATAACGTCTGAGCTTAATATATAAGATATACGTAATTAAATATTTATAAAATAAATTTTATGTAAAAAATAATTAAAAGTAAAATGTTGTACATAAAAAAATTATAGTTTTTGAATATTAATATAATCGTCAAAGAAACTTAAACTATCTTCTGCTGAACAATTTTTTAGTCGTAAAAATGTATAATTTAGTGTGAAATCTAATTCACGTTTTAAATGAAAACTTGAATTGAGATCGTTAATCAATTTCCAATTATAAAAATATACCAATCCTGTACAATTACTGTAACGCATCATAAAATTACCACATGATTCAATATATTTTTTTCTCACAATAGAATTGACTGGATTTTCATTGCAGAGAGAATCAATATATAATAATAAGTCATTAATTGGTTCAGTTCGTAAGTTATATTCGGTAAACTTTTCGTTCAAAAAAAGAAAAAAATTTTTACTTTGCTGAAGAAGTGAATTAATATCACGCCTTTTTCTTGGTATCGCAAATTTCGATGTAATTGCGCAAAGCGATGCATCGTTGTGATTCCAATACTTTCGATAACATTTCTAATCCAAACCAAACCTTCGAAAAGATCATCTCTATTGTCAATAGTTTCTTTCATAACCTCACCCAGAGTTTTTCCAAATACTTCCGTAGTGTAAAACCCAATAGGAGCAGTTCCTTTGTAGGGTTTACTTTTATCTACGACATCGATGTCGTCATTATTGTAAAATAAATGTTCATCAATTACTTGAACAGTTTCTGGATCAGTGTAAATTGTATTTCTAAGTATTATTAAGTCCATCAGATTTGAATTATCTTTCCTGTACTTATCTACTTCATCTTTGGTAAGGTTATTCATATCCAGTAAATAACATGTTTTAATGAATAAAATTAAAGTATAAATTATTAAATTCATTATAAAAACCAAATACTATACTATAATATAATAAATCCAACTTCAATTTTTTNAATACTATAATATAATAAATTCAACTACAAATTTTGTAATGTATTAACTTTTTTACCTATTTATAATATTTAAGCCCGGTTTAATGATAAATTTTATATTATTAATATGAAGTGTAATTATGAAGAATTATAATTATTATATGCCGTTTATATAATAATAATAATGGTTAAAAGTTGATCATAAAAATATAAAGTAAATTTTGTAAAACATTTGCGCAAATCAAATACTTTGTCAACATTATTGAAAAAAGATATATTTATACCTTGTGACATCTTACGTCGCAAAAAACAAAAAAAAAAAGAAACAACAAAAAAGATTGTAGTCGACACTGGTTGTTTATAAAGAAAAAAAACCGTTTATTGTTTTTTGAAATACACAAAGAGATAAAAACAAGCGGAGCGTATACAAATATGTAAATTAAAACTATTGAAAACAAAGGAACCCGCTGAAGTTGCCGAAGTAACGTGTCGATCCTTGTTATATACTCGCAGACGGTACGCATACGTTGGTATCACGAAGATGACTTGCTCGACGTATGCAGCGTATCGACGCTGGGCATTTATTGGACTTTACACCACGACGATAACGCGTGTGTGTAACGGTTCGGTTTACAGTGGAGCGGTGACTGTGAAGGAGCTGACACGACCGCGGGGTGTCAAACGTGTGACAACGCCGTGGCTGTGTCAGTTGTGTCACTGATTTGAGGTAGGTTCGGGTAAATAAAAAGTTATCAATAAATCAAAAAGTGCACCATTTTATATTTTTATTTGTAATCATACTATATACTAATATTATAAGGGATAACATAAACTAAAATACGAATCAAATTATTGTGTTAATAATAATTATTAATATCATTGAATAATTATTATTCAAAGATTTATGAAATAATTATTTAATTTTGATTAGTTATAAAGTATAAATATAAATAATAAACACTTATTGATTTTCTACTTGTATTGGCGTTGGAGGCTATGTTGCATCTGTTACTTTAAATTCTAATTCTAAATTCATAAAAATATATATAAGACATTAATTTAAATTTATTATTATTTTTTTTTCATTTTAAATACCTAGTTCAATTAGCTCATGCGGTGCTGGTATAAATGTTTCTTCAGTGATTGGATCAAATTTAAATCCGAGTTTAAAATACTTTTCTTTAATTACTGTACTGACATAACCCTTAATTTTTCTACTTAAGAATTCTAAAAATACTAATTTTACACCTTGTCCAATGATGACTTTATGCTCTTGAACCCATTTGTTCCATAAATAATTTATATCATAAGTTACAAAATTACAATACGATGAAGATTCATTGTTTATATCAAATATTACTTTTTCAGAAAATGAATATATATATTTTAATGCCTCCAAGTATGAAGATATATTATAACGTGTTAAAGTTAGTTTGTTTAATTGGTTAATGATATTTTCTATTCTCTCAAATAAAGCACTGAATATATAGGGTGGTTTATCAATAGTAACCCATGGTCTTTTATGCAATAAATCTAGAGCGTCCATAGCTCCTTTCATCAATGTGGTCATTGGAACAACTACTATGGATATTATGCTTATGAATTCTTCTGTGCAAATGTATCCATTTATTAAGCGTTTCTCTTCTTTAATTATATTTTCACAATTTTGTATAATGTTGCTAATAACTGAAAAAAGATTATTCATAACTTTTGCATATGTACATCCAAGATATATAGTTAAGGCTCTTACTTTTTGATTGCATTTATTGAGATGTGTAGGTATTTCAATCAGAGTTTGTGGATAATGATAACTACTGTAATAGTTTATAAAGATCAAATCATTTAAATTTTTCCATCCCGAAAACATTAGTAATGTATCTAACTGAATTAATGATTTTTTTAAACCTTTTTCTGCTTTTGTATATAAAATCATATGAAATAATAAAATACCAAACTTGTAAAGTTTTAATGAAAACATTGTAAAACAATTATAATTGAAATTTCTTGAACAAATTATAACTTGATAAAGTGTCAGAAGACACGTATTCGTTCTGTTTTACATTTATAAATAATAAGATAAATATTTATGATAAAACATCTGGCGTAAATTAATAAATGTCTTTAATTTTTTAATTTAGAGTTATTCAACTAACTAAATATTTGCTGACAAATTATTCAAGCCAGAAAAATCTTTTCGTAAAAAGTCATCAATATTATTAAAATTATTTACATGTACTATTTAATGTGATTTTATTTAAATTTGAGAGGTAAAGACTTGTGCCACGCAGAGGATTGTGGAGTCGCCACCCTCATGGCTCCCTCGCAATAAGGAGAGTTGGGTCGCCAACCACTTGTGCGAGGAACATGATTATAAAAAAAAAACATCAGGACAATATGTAGATTAAAAAAAAAAAAAGAATATCAAATTAAATAAAATTCACTATGATGAAATAAAACGTATCATTGAAAAAAATTATAATTATATATAATAAAATTTAAAGTATTGTTGTTGACTATAATATGTTGATATCTTGTAAAACAAAATGTATTTTATTTGATGCCATCAGTAGTGTTATACATTAGTACGTCGAAGACCTTTACCTTAAAACTAGGGAGAATTATTGAATTTAATGTTTGTAACATAAGAATTATCGTGCTAAACCAACGATGGGTCCAGGTAATTATTAAGATGTATTCTTAATTCCTATTTGTAAAAAATTATTCATTTCCACGAAAGATGTTCTGTTATCCACGATGAATTTTAGTGGTAGTAAATAAAATATAAAATATATAATATATTCTATTATTCTATTATTTATTAATTATATTATAGAATATATTGTAGCAATGATAAATGTTATTATCACAAAGTTGATTATCGCAGGAATCAATTTTATTCAAAATTCGTGGAAGAAATAATAAAAGTAATGAGATCAATTTATCTTTTTATTGTTATATGGACCGGCATTATACTTTTCGTCGTTCTATGGTCTAAAAATGTTTAGTCAGAAACTTTATTTTCCGATATTATATAATCGGACAATATTTTTTCCGTAACTATATACAAACATTTTTTAAATTTTAATAGCAAAATTTTACATATTTTTACTTTTTATTTTCTTTAGCAGGATTTTATATAACTACATAATCCTTCTACCACCCTTCATTTTAATTTTTATAGATAAATTAAAAATATGAAAATCTACCAAAATTAATTTATTATTAGATATTTTCTAAAATTATTTTGTATTAACAATTAAACTTGTATAATTTTTCTAATCTAACAAATCATTTTACTAATATCATTAAAATAATAAATTAAATTAATGAATGAAGAAAATGTTTGAAATTAAGATAATTAAAATTTAAAAACTAAGGTGCTGAAAACAACTTAGAGTTATTTTTTGGTAACCAACAGACACATTTAATGTTTACAAGTTAAAAAAAAATTATGTATACACAGCGCTTACATTAACGCTGACTAAAAATCAATATGTATATATTGCATTGTTTCTTAAATATATATACATTAGATCATAGTTACCAATTCTAAAAAAAGTATTATAAATTATTTCTATACTTAGCAAAAAAGTGTTAAATTTAAAGGTTGAAAGGTTACAAATATTATAAAAAAATTTGAATTAATTGGCCGCAACGAAAAAAATTGTAACTTTCATGGCGCATTGAAAAATTAAAAAGAAAAGGGTAGCCAACCCACTAGGAGAGACAATGTATTGTCAGACCACAGTAGAATTTTAAAAAGAAATTAAATTTTGTACATTAAAACAATTTAAATAAAAATAGAAAAGTGTTATAGTTGAAGTCGATGTCCGTTGAGTCGTTGATAGTAGATGTACACCAAAACCTCGTGACAGTTGTCACATAACCATAATGATGAGGGATGACCTTATATGTCCGTACCTTATAAACTAAGGGGAGTTGATTTTTGAAAGGAAAAAAGATAAAAAAATACTCGAGTCTATTGAAGATGGAACCCGCAAAAAAAATAAGATGATAGTTAAGTTAAATTAAGTAGACTTTATTAAAAAAAAAATAAGTTAATACGAGACAAAAATCCGAACGGTCAAATAACCTCGTCTACAAATTATAGGGGAACAGAGAGAAAAAAAACGTATATTAATAAAAAAATGAATTATACCTACACTTTTATAATTGGAGAATACGATGAACGTCTTCGGGTACCCGCCGGCTATTAATCACGGCATTACCACTAAGCACTGGTTTTAAATAGTTAGACTTAGCTTGCAAGACATTGGAACACCCCGGAATAAAATGCACAACGTCACCATATTGTACTATTGATATATACACATCACCCCATAAAATATAACATAAAACCTATATAAAAAAAAATCACAAAATAATATAGACATAACAGGTGGTCTTGAAACATGCCTGCCATGTTGAGGGACCTAAATAAAAAAAAATAGGGGCACCTAAAAAGAAATATGTATGGCTCAAAACATAAAATAATAAAGATACATTAGCAGCCCCGAAGGGCTACAGAAAACGGAGGCAGGATTAGCCGACGCTAGTATACAAAAAATTACATATTTAATATAGCGGGCACTCACAAAAGATACATATACATAAAAACAGTTGCAGCGCACGCAACAAAAAAAACACGACCGCTACGGACGAAAACTAATCAGCAACCAGTGACGACTAAAACGTTCGGCGTTTGACCCGGCGGTCAGTTGGCGACAACACGGCTAGCCTTTAGAGTAGTGTCAAAAAAAAAAATTAAATACCCAGTGCCGGAAATTATTAAGAACAATTCGAATCATAAGGCGTCAATGTATGCGGTGAGCAGTGCAAATGACGTTCAAGATAGGAAAGGAGCGGGGTAAATGTACACACAAATGCCGTCCAGGAACCGGTCTGTAGTAGTACACAGCTGACTATCTCGCACGCGCACAAACAAATCACAACACCATAACATGATTATTTAACTGATAAACACCGACCCAGTACGCATTCGACTCAACAAAAATATATATAAACAAATAGACAAAAAAAATAAACAGATACTTTTTGTCACGGTACAAAATGTCTATTATAATTGAACTAAGTTTACTATTTTATTGTTTTTAAAGATATGTTGTATCAGCAGATTCGGATGATTTAAGTTCAACTGAAGAAAATAACTATCAAAAATGCTCTTACTTATGTAGTGCTTTAACTCATATGAAAATAACTCAACTTATTTTGAAAAACGAAATAGTAAAGTTGATAAATGCATTATTCAACATAAGTAAGTATGGCTATATCATCAAAAAACAATTATGTACTTTGTATGATAAAGATAAAGATGGTATTAGATCCTTGTGGCTATTAAATATGTATTCAAGTAGCGTGTATGGATTTTTAACAATACTGTTAGGGACTAGTTTAATAGTTGAGGATGTTGGTCAAAATGAAGAATTGGAAGCTTCCCGACATCTGCCCAAATATCGTCCCTTCAAATATCTCCTTAAATGAGTTTCAATTACAAATTAATATATACAATATGAAAGAAAGAAATAGACCTGAATTGATGTTTACAGAAATTGTCGAAAAATTTTCAAAACAAAACATACTTATGCAATTTTTTGGTAGAAATATAAGTGGATTACATTTTTTTAAATTGCTTATTATGTATAAGTTAACTGGAACAATAAAACAGAAAAAAATTCATGAGTATGTTTCTAAAGGCTAATTCACTTGACTGGTCAGGCTGAAATTTTAAACCCATTAAAGATATTTATGATATATTTTTTAACTTCTTTAAGATCATTATGTCAAGGTTAACTCATTTGAAATTATGCTAAATTTTAAGATCATTGAGCTATGCTTAATAATTTGTGCCATTCAATGGTATGTTAGAACGACGAATCCAGTTTATTTAAGTTTTACTGAGGGTAATAACTATCTAAAGTGGTCATATTTATTTAGTGCTTTGACTCATTTGAAAATAATTTAAGTAATAAGTATGACTATATCATCAAACAATAAATAAGTACTTTATCATACATAATAAAGCTAAAAAGGATATTGGATTCTTGTGGCTATTAAATCTAAGTTGAATACATTTTTTTGAAAATGCTATTTTAAAGTTAATTGGAATGATAAAACGGAAAAATTAATTAAAAATGTGTTTAAAAAGGCTAATTTACTTGACTGGTCAGGAGAAAATTTTAAAAATATTAATGATTTTTATGTAATGTACTTAAATTTCTTTATGTTAAGGTTGACTTGGAAACATTTCATGTACCTTTAACCGATATTGAATAATTTTTCAAAGCTTATATATAGAGAAAATTCTGATATTAACAAAATTAAAACAAGTATTATAAATTTTATTAACTTTATTCCAAAAAATACAGACGATTCAGTCGATGTGTTTGAATTTTCAGTTTATAACTGAAAGTATTACTTGATGTTAGTACCCGATTTAAAAACCGAGAACGCGGTCGGTCCCTCGAACCCTAGGACCGGCTGGCGCTCAGGTGGATGCCCATGCTCCGGTGGCGGACTCGCCTCTCGGAGGAAACGACGAGAGGTGAGTGGACAAGATCCATTATAGGACAGGTGGGTGGCCGGACTCACGATGAGATGACACATCATCTCACTCAAGTGATGTCCGGCCACGACTGCTTTAACGAGTACTTACACCGTATTCGTAAAGCAGCTGCGCCGACGTACGACAATTAATTGGATTGCCCGGGAGAGGCTGACAGCGCTCTGCAAACCCTCTTCCGGTGTGAGGCGTGGGCCCAGGAGAGGGACTCTTTGGAGTCCTGACTAGGGTCTACATTTCGAATCGGGTCCATGGTTGACCTGATGTTGAGGAGCCGGGAGGCGTGGAGGCTCGTTCAGGCGTTCGCCGAATCTGTCTTGTTAAAGAAGGAGGAAGCAGATCGCCTGAGATAGAGACAGCAATGCCGCCCGGCACAGGAGGACCTGAGGCGCTGGTTTAGGCCGGTGCCTTAGGTTCTTGTTTT